AATATAAAGGCGTGCTATCAGAACCTCAACCCATTCTCACAGGTGTTCCTCAGGGAAGTATCCTGGGTCCTATCTTATTCATTATCTTTTTCAACGATGTACATAAACCGCTTCAACACTCGAAGATTATCACTTATGCCGACGATTCAGTCATCTATACCTCTTCTAAAGATATTGATACTATACAGAGAAGCCTTAGCGAGGATATGAATAACCTGTGCGAGTGGTTTAAAGACAACGAACTGATCATTAACCTAAAAAAGGACAAGACGGAGTCTATGTTATTTGGAACAGCTAAAAGAATCAACCTTCAAGACAAGGAACTTAAACTTTCTGTTAATGGGACACTCATCAATAACACCTCTACCTATAAGTACTTAGGTGTTCACCTTGACTCATCACTAAACCTTGCATCACATTTTGACCGAATCTATAAAAAAGCTGCAACCAGAATTAATCTCTTGCGATCAATTCGTCCTTTGATCGACCAAAAGTGTGCAGAATCGATCTATAACACTATGATCGCACCTATTTTTACCTATTGCGGAACACTTGGTCTTAGCTTTCCGGATTACCGAAAGGAAATGATAAAGAACATCGAACGACGAGGCTTTAAAGTTATTGGCAATAGTTCTTTTAATCCCCCATCCGTGAACAATTTGATCAAGCGTAAAAGCTGTTTGTTTGTTTTCGACTGTCTCCTGAATAATGTTTGCACACCCTTTAAGAACTACTTCGAAAGACTGGTTCATTCTAAGGCCACTAGGAATAACGGTATATCAGTGAAATTACCCAAAGTACGTTTAGAATTTGGTAAAAAGAGCTTCTATTACCAAGGAGCAAAGACTTTCAACAACCTGCCTGCTGAACTAAGGTCGTTAGATTCGAGACTGAAATTTAAGAACAAATTGCGAGATTATTTTAGTTAAAAATTCGATCTAAACGTGGTTATAGGTATCCTTTTTCAGAGCATTTTATTTTATTGTATGCTTTTCTAGACCTTAAGATCAATGATTATATCTTGTTAAGTTTTATTTTATTTATTTATTTATTATTTTGACAGGACCCCAAGGACAACAGTGTTACACACTGATGGGTTTTCAATCCTGTATAAAAATTCGTTATTATTATTATTATTATTATTATAATCGAACGAACGATGAAAAAGAAAACAAAAAAAAAAAGAAGAGAAGAAAAATCGAGAGATTCCAATTGTTATGATGTTTATTAGTAGTATCACTCATTAACTTCCCTTAAGGTACGTAAATTCTTAACCCTACGAGCCAATTTTGACTAATTTAAGTCTCTTGTATTCTATGTTGGAGTCAAAACAATTCCACAGTTTCATAAACTCCTTGAAAAAAAACAAATTAAATGACTTCTGCGTTTGGTGTTTTCCCATTCATTTGGCTAGTAAGAGTGAAGACTGCTACTTCAAAATGATTAAACAGTCAATAAAGACGGAGTCCTCAAACGTCACGAAAATTGAAACCATTTGTCAAAAGCTTTCTTTTTGGAACTTTTCCCATATTTTTAACACCAAAACGAAAACAAATATATTTGAAGGAATGAGAAATCCTCTAAATTTGAACGTGCGAAAGTAAGTCTGTTTATGAGACAGGTGTGAAGAACATTTAATCAACAAAAAAGAGAAGCCTCCACTGTGCTCTGTTCTGTTTTAAAGCACAAAGGAAGCAATAGAGTACGAAAGAAGTGTAGGGAGAAACACGAGATGTAGTCGAGTGTTTCTATCCTTTTCTTGAGCGCTTTAACCCGCTTCTTAACTGTTTAGAAACAGAACAGAGCACAGTCATGGTTCTTCTATTTGTTTTACAATGAAGAATCCGTTAAATTCCCGAGACATTACTTTCAATTTTCAAATCAATGACATGCCCTATACTCTCATGAAGCAGGCTACAATAAGCCAATCTGAATCTTAATTAGAATGGCTCTAACCAATTGAGCTAACCGCCTCCCGGTTAGCTCAATTGGTTAGAGCGCCGTGTTGTGTTGTGCGGAAGGTCGAGGGTTCAGTGAGAAAGAATCATCGAAAAGACGGAACAATTTCTCCTCTATTGCGAGGATCGGGCATCATTCGTATCTATAACCGAGGTTCAAAATATATGAGCTTCATATATTTACTGTTTCATATTTATCATCGCGGGTTTATTACAAATAAACTTAACGGCCTGCTCTTAGTTGGCTTGCTAGCTCAATTGGTAGAGCGCTGCACTAGTATCGCAGAGGTCAGTGGTTCGAATCCCGTACAGGCCTGATTCTCTTTTAGGTCTATTTTCGCTATTGCAT